ATATTTATTAAATAAATATTAATTAATTTTTTTAATAATAAATTATATTTCATGTCATATCTTATCATATTTTATTATATTTATCCAAATTTTAATTTTTAAAAGGCTTATTTCAATTTTTGATTACTTGAAGATTCAACCAAAACTGAACCAAAATTTATTTGGTGAATACCAAATCAAAACAATAAAATCTAAAAGCCGTTGAAATCAAACCAAATTCATTTTTTCGGTTTGGTTTCTGAATAATTATTCGGTCACCCACCCGAATACACAGTCACAGTGCCCACCCCCAGCTCTATAAAGTCCCATTCTTGAAACTTCAAAGATCACCCAACGCAAACACAGTTTTCTTCCTCCATAGAACAACTCTATTTTTTCCAGGGTTCCACAATCATGATATCATCCCGAAGGTCCCCAATGGGTGATTTCACTCATAAAATGAAAGCCACCACAGAGATCCCCCCAGCTAGGATGTTCAATGCCTTTGTCTCTGAGGCTGAATTTATCATCCCCAATTTTTATGTTTCAAAGGCCATATTGGCCATTCAGAATGTCGAACTCATTGAAGGAGATGGAGGCCCTGGAAGCATTAAGAAAATCACCTTTGGAGAAGGTTTGGTATCCATAATCATTTCTATCCCATCACATCTCACAAGAAATTAACTAAATTGTTTCTTTACAGGAAGCCAAGTCAAGTATGTGAAGCAAAAGATTGAAGCAATCGATGGGAAAAGCTTCTCGGTCAACTATAGTCTCATAGAAGGTGAATCTCTGATGAGCAATTTGGAGAAAATTTCTTATGATATCAAGTTTATAGCAGCTTCAGATGGAGGATCCATTGCAACATAAGCAGCAGCAAGCATTATACCTTTGGTGACATTTATATCAAGGAAGAAGATATCATAGCAGAGAAAGAAAGGGCCCTGGGGTTGATCAAGGCTGTAGAAGCCTACCTCCTGGCAAATCGAGAAGCTTCTAAGATCAAAGTTGATTAGTCTTTATTTGGCTTGTCTGGAGTGGTTTGCCCTTCTGTTCAAATAAAAGAATTGTTTGTTCTTTCTAATGTTTTCTTTGCATTAAGCAGATCTTATTCTAACCCTATCTTTGCTCTGTTCTTTGGACTTTGAGGTTCTGCTCTGTATTAAAAACCTTCATCTTCAATTTGAATTCATCACTTGCTGGTGCCCTCATTGACAGATTGTCCCTCACAACCATTTCACTGAAAAGAAATTAACGAAAAGGAGAAAATCAGTATATCAAATTAAAGCAAAACTCAACACGAAGCAATCTAATTTTTATTTCCTTCTAGTTTATTTGTGAAGGAAAGATTTTCAAGTGAAGCATGAATGCGAAAGAGATGAAGCCATACCGGGGTAACCTACTGAGTTCGGTTGCCTTTGCAAAGGCGCCTTCTTCGAGTGCCTTAAAAATCCTAAACATGATAGCCAGACGGATTTTGTTTCTAGCGCTCTGCTGGATGACGAGTCTAGTTTCTCTCTTAAGCTTTTGGCATTCGGCTTCAGTGTCTTCAAATTTTTCTCTAACTTGTCCTCGTTCTTCTCTGATACTACTTTGTTCCGCACCAATTCTTGCATCTCCTCTCTCAGCCCTTAGTTTTGACTAGACGTCTTTGGCATTCCTCCTCTGACGCCATTATTAGTTCACTTACATGTAATGTTCGTCAAATGAAAAAAAAATAACTCTTGAAGCCAACATATACGTATCTTCATCTTCTTGAATTGGCGTTTCCTCCTCAGAACCGTGCGAAGGCGGTTCATCAAGAGCTGCTTCATTTCCTCATCGCTCCGGGCAATGTTTTAAGATCCGACCCGATGATTCAACCGTTTTCATTGCTTAATCCGGTTCAATTGCTTCAACTAGTTTAAATGGTTTAATCAGCCGGTTCAAGCACCAGTCAACCAAAAACTTTGATTTTATTATTATTATTATTATTATTATTGTACATTTTACTATTATATACCATTATATTACTCTATTTTCAAGAGATAATTTCTTAAAAATAACTTTAAAATATCATAAAAGTCACTGAAAATTTTATTTAATTAAATACATATAATTCAAAGCTCAAACTTAAAAACTATTAAAAGACATAGTATAAAAAAATTTTTAAAAATCCAAATTAAGAACAGGAGAATATAGGTAAACTAAACATGACACAACAAGGAGAGGCTCAATTCAAACTAAATCTATAATAGAATAAGTCTTAAATTTAAAGAATAAAAAATCTCAAATTAATATAATAAAAGTCAATTTAACTAAAACTAACTTTTCTTTTGATTTATATCTCAAATTATAATTACTTCTTCATTATAAATTATATTCTCTAATCTGTCACAATTAATAATTAAAAAATCATCATCTTTCACTATTCAACAATCAATATTATCTATACTTTCATAATTAATTAGATCAAATTAACCAAATTTCATATGCACCATTTATATTATTTTTTTCTAGAGTTAACACTCTCCAATTGATTTTCTCCAAGTCAATACCCAGTAATTTTCAAAACAACTAGAAATTCCAAATTTTAACTGAGAAGTCATGTGACTGGCCCCATTAGCTCTTCGCTTCTGTGGCACTTTCTAAACGAATGGTAATTATTTTGCCGCTAGCTCTTTTTTTTCCACGTGGCAAATAATTAATTAAAGCAATTTTTGCTGACTTGGATATAGACATTAAAAAAAGTCTCTTGTGAGTAGGGTCCACAACTACAATACTCGCCTCCTTCTTCCTCACCCAGTCACCCTCATTGTACCTCCTCCCATCTCTCCTCCCCACATCTTTGCTCATCCTCACCATTGGATAAGTGACAGGCCCAGATGGAAATGGAAGCAATTCAAAGAGTTAAAGCCAACTATAGTCCCCTACTTTTAATTTTCATTCGTTTCCTCCCTATACTTACAAATCATTCAAAGTCCTCCCTCTACTCTTCCAAACTATTCTATAGTCCTTCTACCTTAATCTTTCATTACATTTACCTCCTTCTCATAACACCATTTTTAACTCCCATCTCACATAAACATCCTGGGCCGTTAAGTGTAATAGTTTATTATATTTTCTAAATTGTATTAGTGGGTACAAATATCCTACATGACTTAAGTACTTGACTAATAAAAAGAATAGTTTATCATGTACTTTCCCACGATCAATCAACTAAAGCTAGGGGTAAATGGATTTTTTTTTTTTTTTTGTCGTTTTGAATGTTAAGCATTATTTGTTAGTAATGTATTATAGTATATTGTAGTTTAAAGTTTTATTCTTTATCATTTTAAAAATAAATAAAATATTAATTTTAATGTGTTGCATTATATTGTAGTTTTAAGTTTTGTCTTTTATTATTTTAAATATATAAAATATTAATTAAAATTAATCAATAAGATTATAGTTATAATGTTACATAAAAGTATAAATTTATAATCAGTATGTGTTAATGAATGTGACATGTTATTAAATGTGTAGATGCATATAATATACCATAAGTGGACTTAAATGAAAAGAATCAATTATATAATGATATATCATATTATAAATTTATATCATCATGTGAGATTGTAACTTATATTATTTTTTAAAATTAATAAAAGTATAAAAATTAATTAAAAATTTATTAATAATAAGCAAATTATATTTTATATAAAGCGCTATATGAAAAAAAAAATCCATTAAAAGTATGGTTAAACCAAACCTTAATATTATATTATACAAAATTATTATATTTTCAACCATATTTAGGTTTGGTTTGATAGTACTGTGTTGTATTCGCATATTTTTTTTTTATCTTTTACTATTCTAAAAATATTTAACATATTAATTAAAATTAGTAAAAATATATAAAAATTAATTAAAATTAATAAATTTATATTTAGACAACGAAAATATCCTAACACTCGTTCAATTTGGTTATTAAAATATAAAATAAATATAATATAAATACAATCTAATTCAGTTAATTTTTGTATCATGTATGCATAACT